AGCGAGGAGGCGCCGCGGGCCGCCGCGCCGGGCGGCGGGGCAGGGGCGGCGGGGGCGGCGGCCACCGCCCGCCGGGCGCCCCGCAGGCACAGCCGGGTGAGCGCCTGCCGCGATCTGGGTGAGGAGCGCGGCGACTCCCCGGACAGCGGGCACTGCCCAGGCACGCGCAAGTCCAGCTTCCTCTCCCGCGTCCTCACTGGGAGCCGGGCGGGCAGCGACAGCGAGGGCACCGCATCCCGCGGCGGTTCCGGCCTCGGCTCCGGGTCCGTGTCCGGCTCGGAGGGGAAGCGCCGTGAGGAGGGTGCGCCCAGCCCGCCGCCCGCCGCCAATATGGGACGCCGCGTGTCTATGGCAAGTAGCGCCCGGGGCAGCCCGAGGGAGGGGGGCGAAGGGGGGCCCCCGCACCCTGTCCCGGCACGGGGGAGGAGAGGCCGAGCCAGGGGGCAGGAAGGCTCGGGCAGGACTTCCAACACAGCCCCAGTGCCTCGTGGCCTCCCGGACCATGCCAAGCTCCCAAACATTCAGTCTCCTTTTGCAGTGAAAACAGAAACACCAGGGAATTCCTGAGTCCTGAGGAGCTCTAAGTCACCGAATCTCAGCTTCTTTATACTCATTCTATCCTCCCAATCAACTCGACGGAAACTGTGCCAAGAAAAAGTTCTTCAGCTCCACCCAGGTGGACACTGTAAGAAAGAGAAGTCTTGAATTCATTGAGTTCAATGACCCAACTTCTCTCTGCTTCAGGGGCTTTGTCCCAGAGGTGACCACCGAGTTCAGTAATTGTTCAATGAATAAATCAGAAGATATACATATAAAAAACCCCACCAAATAATTGCAATGCAGAGCCAATGACTACAGAATTGCTTTTTCAGCAGCTGTTTCTCTTCTTTGGCCACATGCTCTAGGCTTGCTTACAGTCAGGGTTGATAACATATAGTGCTTGCGCTCAAGAATCAACAAGGCTTTCTTAAAATTCTGATTTTATTTGAATTCTGATTGCCTCAGATCACAGGTTTTGTCTTCTGAGAGCATAGAGGCTCCTTTACAAATGCTTGCAATAGCAAGCCCATAAATAACTTTTTATAGGGCATCTAATAAACAAGCTTACTTTACAAAATGCTCAGAGTCATAGATTCTATTGTTTTTTTTCCTCACTCTTCCTAAAAAAACCCAAACCCACACTTTTGCCTAAATACAAAACAAACAAAACAGAACAACTAACTATCTTCAAATCTTCTGTGGCAAGAAACAGAAGGCATTGTTACACATTGCTCATCCAAAAACTGTTTGTGGGTTCCAGTTTTTATGGAGTTACGGTTTCTACAATAAGCCAGTCAGCATAAGCCATAATAAATTGTCACTTAGGTGCAATTTAACCACTTTCCACTTCAATATTTCTAATACTGGGAGAGGGCCTTGAGTCTAATCTGTCAATCTGCTGGTTTTTGATACTCAGAGAGAAGGCTCTTCAAAAAGGTGAAGTACAGAAATTTATTCAAGCAGGACAGAATTTCAGTAGCACCCTGTTGAGAACTCACAGAAGTTGTTTGGCAGCTTTTCTTTTGTAATGACAATGACTTTATCTTCCAGGGGAGATCTTCAGAGAAATACAGGCAGTTTGCAAAACAGTGTCATTACTCTTGAAAGTAACAGTCCTCTGGCATGCTGCCTTTGAGGATCATTGTGTACCAGACTGGTCCTGGCATTTTAAAATGTGACTCATGTAGGTATGCTACCTGGTGTTTCCTGCTTACAGCACATGATATTTAAAATTAAATGTACTTCTAAACAAAATTGAGTCAAGATTTTGGCAAATGCACTTTACTCTGGCATTGCTGCAGCATTTTATGAATATCGATTTCAATACAGAAATATGCTGATGCATAATAAATATGCTGAACCTGGGCATTAAAACTTGGATATTCTTATAATAGTCTGTATTCCCCAGTTCCTATAATAACTATTTAATTTTGATTGTCAAAGGCAGTCAGCATTGGTTAGATTCGTTTTGACTTCCAGAAGACAATCATCGTGTGTAAATGACAGAATCATGGAATGATTTGGGTTGGAAAGGACCTTAAAGATAACCTAGTTTCAACTATTGGATCTAAACAATCTATTAGATTCTGAGGACAGACCTTCATTGCATCAGGACTGGACCTTCATTGCATCAGGAAAAGCACAGAGCAAAGCAAAAGTGGAGAGTCATTGCATGACATGAGTGTCATTTCCAACTGATTTCACTCCACCTAAGCACAATAATAAGAGCATCACTGACTATACAGATGAACTAATCTCAACTCATTGGGGAGCTAGGCTAAATAATGTTACAAAACTCTACATTGACAGGGGAATTCAGCAATGGTCTACAGCTGAAGACAGGCTATCTGCAAGTCTCTAAAACCTTTGTACTGAGGACCATATCTTTGAAGTGACGGCAAACAATTTGTTCACTGATAGCTGTCTAAAGCCAAATTTCCAAGGCTCACTTACAGGATTCATCTTAGAGACTATGTAGTATCTTGTCTTCTAAGAGATATTGTGGGTACACACACAGTTCTGACCTAAGGTTTGCATCTCTCATCACATTTTTACTTTTATTTAAGGGGAGATACATCTATGGAGCAAAAGGGCACCTTCTACATGGTCCTAGGCTGCCAGCCTCCCTTAGGCAAGCAGGCCTTAACTGGCAGCTTTTCAGACACAGCTCATTGAAAAGAGCAGGATGGAATTTAGTATAACTACAGTCACAACTGACAGCTGGGAGCTGAATTCACAAAGATTTGTAGGAATTAATGCTGCTGTCAATAGGATTCTGTACATGAATGATAGTATGAGAAAAACCCCTCATAATTTGCACCAGTCAGGCCCTTGACTGGTGGATGATATATTTTCAAGCCTGATAAGATGAATAGATGGATGCAGTCAAAGGTCAGCATCTAACGAGTACAGATACAATCTGTGCTCTCTTGAAAATAGGCAGGGCCAGGAATTACAGCCTATAAAAAGCACCTAGCTCTTGAAGTATTGCACTAAGGGGTATTGTCTCACAGTCTCTGCATGTAAGACTGTATGAAGCCATTGGGACCATTGAATAACTCTCTTCTTCTCTCTGGAGGGATGAAAGTCACATCTGAGCACTCCAACTGAATAATTAGAGAATATGGGGGCTTTACTTCCGAAGTCACCCTTTGCCAGAATCAAGCAGTCTCCTTCCTCATCCATTTTCTGCAAAGGAACGATTGCAGAACATCAGAAAGCTCAGTTGAGCATGACCACATCCTGACACTGCATCTTTAGAGTGTCACAATGTCATCCCAATTCAACAGCTGAATGCAAACATTTCTGCAAAAGATGGAGGCCATCTGGTATTTCATTGCTGGCTGCATTTGAAGTCTTTTGCTATCTGTGTCTCTTCCTGCGTTTCTAAAGCAGAAGATTCCAGTTGCATGCTACCTGAACATGTCCAGCGTCAGTTCTTTTCTGTCTCTATATGACAGTTTTCTAAAGAATTCTATGACACGCTCTAAAGCCTATGAGTTTTAATTTGGTTAACTGTGATTGTGAGTAGTTACATTAGACTAGCATCATATTTCAGATGACTTGGAATTAATTATCACATTTGCAATCCATGACTAAGCCTGTTAAGAGAACTACTGCGCTAGTCCTCTTGCTAGGTACCCAAGGGTACCAAGAAGATGGGGGCCTTGACATTGTTTAATGATTGTATTTCTTCATGAAGCCATGATAAGTTCCTAAATCACAAAAAAAATTGGAAGTCATCAGAAGATGTATAATGTTCTTAGCAACCAAAATTACTAGATTAAGATTTTCTGAAAGAATTAGGCATTTTAGGAATGCCAGATTTTTTTTTTTCAAGAAGTGCTGCATTTCCCCCACTCTCTTCTCCAGAGAGACCTGTGCTTTGAGTGAAATGTCTTTAAATCTGTATTTTTGGCTACAAAGTAACCAATGTATCTTTAAGAGCAAGGCCTCCTTCTGGTGGTGAATGAGGGGAACGAAGCTGATAATGAAGCAAGTAGCAACACTGATACTCTGAGCTTGCCGAATCGGTCTGAGATAGGGCTGCTGATTTGTTTGTTTGCAGAAAAGAAAGTCTCCGGGGCTGAAATCCTGGCTCTGCCGAATTAGGGAAAATTTTACAATTCACTAGGTTCACTTTCCTTCACTGCATTGCTTTTTTATTCCTCTGTGTTGTTCAGTTCTTTTTCTGCTTCTCAATTCTCCATTCAGTTTTGAGCCTATTACCCACTGGGAAAACACTCCATAGTGAGCAGGATTGGAAAGAGAGAGCTGCTATTCAGCCTGAATGCTTGCAGTCTTCTTCAGAACAGGGCATGTTTACTCACCCTTTCAACAACACTTGAAGAATAAATATCCACTCATTTAACTAGTTGCTCACCCGCTCTTGCTCCTGGGGCTGGGAACAGCTTGATAAGACTGAATGTACATTGAAATAACAAACCTGATAAGCACAGAGGAGTTAGTCATACGGCTGAGCTCCACTAGGAAAATATACAGTTGTGGTAATGGACTGGCAAAACCCTGTGCTCCTCTAGGATTTTTGAGAATCCTTAAAGGTATTCACATTTACACCTGCTGGTAATTACTGCTGGTTTTGTACAGTTTTTCAATGTAAACACTTCTTTAAAAATAAATATATAAATCCCACAGTATTTGTATTTTATTCTGCCCTGGACCACTCAGAAGAAGCTGGTGGTGATGAGAGCAAGTGTACCAATTATCATGCTAAAGCTACTTGATCACTCAAAGGTAACCGATCACCAGTTGCAAAAACACAGATAAACTTTGGGAGTCAGCAGCAGTTGAGCCCAGAGTTCAACTAATGAACCCCTCTGAGGATTTATGCAGTAATAAACAAATAAGCTGGATTTTAGAAAGTGGAACTTGCTTGAGCTCTTTGTATGGTTTTAAAGCATTTAAAAATATACAAAACCTCTTAATAGGAAAAGCAACGGCTCTAGGATGGGTCCACTGATTTCAAACAAATTACTAAACCACAGAATGATAGAATCAGGATGGTTTGGGTTGGTAGGGACCTTAAAGATTATCTAGTTGCAGCCCCCACCCTTTCATGGGCAGGGACAGCTTTCACTTGCTCAAAGCCCTGCCCAGCCCAGCCTTGAACACCCAGGGATGGCGCATCCACAACTTCTCTGGGCAACCTGTTTCAGTGCCTCACTGCTCCCACAGTAAATGACTTCTTCCTAGTATCTAATCTAAACCTACTTTCTTTCAGTTTAAAGCCATTACTGAAGAAAGCCCTAGAAGGTAAGTATGTTGTCAGCTAAACACCAGATTCCCTTAACTGTGTATGTGTTGGGGTTAATTACTATGACAACATTTGTTTTTCTCCTTTAAGCCAATTCAGCTTTGTGCTTTCTTTCTCTTGTTATCTTTCAGAGCATGCTCCTAGAACTATCGTCTATCATGAAAAAGTAATGACATTCTAAGGAGAAGAAATAAACTAAGGGATTGAGCACAAACTGCCTTCAGCAGAGAGATAAAAGCAGGTTTTCTGTTGC